CTATCTACAATATTTTCTCTCTGCCCAGCAGAGGTCTGTTCAGCAGGACAGTCAAGTGCACTCTCCCCCGCTCACGGGACGCTTGTGTCTTTTACAGTGAAAATTATGTCTATCATATTTACCTTTAATTCCCAATACTTTTCACCCTTACAGACAAATGTACCTTCACCATGAACCAATCTAAATGTGCCAACATCATCACACAAAATGGAAGACATGAAGAAGAAAGAAGAACCTAGGACCACGCCCTGAATCTTCCATCTTGTCTTCATGACCCTCCTGTACCTAATTTCTATACTCTATACTTAATCCTGTAAATACACTATTCACACCCTAGAACTTCTCATTTCTTCATACACAGATGTTTCATCTCTAGATGGATCAAAGTCAAGCCACCAGACACTTCCGGCAACATTCTAAGGTCTCTGAGCCCCCCAAGGGTTCTCTTGGTGACTCTGGACATCCAGAGTGATGTGTTGAGTTCTCCCCCTTCTGTTTGCACTAAAAGTACCTTCTTTGCAACTTGACTCATGACTTGCCTTATACACAAAAACATGCATGGCACTATAATTAAGAGGACAATGAGAACTATCAAAACCTGAAACTCTATCTTCAAAAGCTCTCTCCATAAAGGAGAAAGGTTAAAAAACTTCACCACGTCATCAATCTAAGATTCTGTGATTTTGCTGAGTTTTTTTATCCTATCCTCTATTTTTTGTATATTTTCATGAATTGACTTTGAGTGATCAGAGAGATTCACACAGCACATTCTTTCAAATTCCTGACATCTATGACTATGAGCTAGCAACAGATAATCAATTGCCGCTCTGTTCTGTAGAGTTGTCTGTCTTATACTGTCCATGTCTTGCAATATGTCACTCACTGCAAGAGAGACTGATTGAGCGTGTTTGCTCAGCCAACAACTCATGCGGTCTAATTGATTTAAGGTCACCTCTGACGCTGTCTGAGGTGAGAAAACTGCTGTCGCAATTCTCCTTGCTTTGTCCCAAGTGTACACTTCATCGTCGCAATTTGCATCATAGTGTTTTAAAGATCTTTTTTCTCTATGTTTTTGTTCTTTCTGCCACTTCGAATCTGGTGATAATGAAATTTTTCTAATGCTGCATGGACTTCCCTTGGCATTTGAAGGAATGCCGTGCCAAATTCTATCTCCGCAAATGAAAAAGAATTCTTTCGGCAAATGCACTGGAACTTGGAGTGACCCTCTGGTTGTCATCGTAGTGTTTCTGCACTAAGCCGATGCATTTCTATAAAACTCTTGATTTGGAGTGACGTCGATGGTATTGTTTGTTTTTCTCGCATTTAAAATTTCAAACTCCATGCACATGTCCATTGTCATGGATCTGAAAATCTTCAATTCTTGAGGTTCAGTAGAAATCACAGGAAGAAGATGTGCCCAAGCACACCAGTCATTTACAGGATCTTTAATGATCTGTGAAATCTCAATTGTAGTGTGCTTTGGAATCGGCCATTCGCTCACTGGCAACTCAATCATGCATGCTGAGAATGGTTTTCTTGGTCTGGAATGCGTCAGGTAGATGCTATCTAAATTTGCTGCTTGGGCTAAAACCTCTCAAACGTTTCTCTTTGGCTGATCAATGGGTAAATTTGCCTTGCTGTTCACAGCGATTGACAATGAAATTGAACACATGAGCATTGTGAAGCGTATAACTTCACGTTTGTGAACAAACATTACTATCTTTTCATTCAAAATCCTAAAAAAAAAAATCTCTCAAAGTTTTTATTTTTATTGTTCAGTTTCTTCTGAGTTGTTTTTCGCAGTCTGAATCTCCTCCTCTGTTTGAGTGCTCGTCTCTCTGCTTCTGGGATTAGTGTTCTTTGGTCTTTGCGTTTGGAATGGTTTCACGTGCTGCGCCGACACTTACTTTGGACTTTGCTCTGTGGAAACACAAGCGAAACCCTTGCTCCAAGTGATTAGTTTGAAGGGACCTTCTATTTGTCCTGACTCTGGGTTTCTGATCAAAACCAAAGGATTCTCTCTTAGTTTTGCCTGTGAACTGTTTGATAAATGTCTCAGGATTGGGTTCTGAAGATGAACTATTTAGAAAATTCAACACATACAATGCTTTATTTAATTTCATGTGTGGCGTCGCTTCTGGTTCTCCTCTTTTTTGCCTGTCTAGCAAAGATTTTAAAGTATGATGTGTTCTCTCAATGGTTGTCTGACTTGTGGGTGAATACAGAATACTAAATGTGTGTTTGACACCCCATCTTTTTAGGAATTTGTTAAGCACTCTGCCTGTATATGTTGGATCATTATCTGTTTTTATTTCTTGAGGCACGCCTAATGACGCGAATGCTTGCAGAAAATGTCGACAAGCATGATTTGCTGTTTCCTCTGCATGCACTGAAGCGAAGACTGCTCCTGAAAATGTATCTACTGAAACATGAACATTGCTGAAGACTTTGCAGTCCTCACGGATTGACTGCTCCTGTGGAAGCTGGTGGCTGTACAAGTTGACAATTTGGATAAGCACTAATGATTTCTTTCGCCTGAGTTTTTGTGAGACTAAAGGATTTCATCAGCACTTGTGTATTCTGATGAAAAAATGTATGACTTAACTTTGCTTGTTTAAAAATGTCTGGAAGTGTTTGTGAAATGGGTATTGTCAACCTGTCCGCTTGAGCATTCCCTTCTGCTAAAAACTCTGGAAGTGTTGTGTGAGCTCTGATGTGTGTGATAATATACTCGTGCTCCTTACTTTCTAACAATGTTTTCATGCCTGCTAGATATGAATGTAAATCTTCATCGCTGGTCTCTTTCAAAAGTGAACCCTCCAATCGTCTGACCACACCTGTAATATATGCGGAATCTGTGATTAAGTTCAGAGGTTCCTGAACAATTTGAATGATCGAAGAACTGCTGCCAATTCCACAATCTGTGGAGAGCTTTGAACCATCTTTATATTTGATTTCCATTCTCCTGTCCTTGAGTTCCTCTATGTGATTACTGACTTGTGTGTCTTTCTTGAGCCATCAGTGAACACTGTGATCTCGTCTAGAAGTTCTTCACTTATTCTTGGCTTTGCTCTGTAATATATTTGTGACTGCAACAGTCTGTGTTGCGGAAAATGAACTGTGCAAGCCCCTGGAAAAGCCAACAATGCAATTAACAAGTCTTTTGATTTTTGCATCGCTCAATCAATGTGATTTTTTTTCAAAGGTAGACGAATGATTGAAAATTTCTCTCTTGCTATTGTCAGCAATCTGGTTCTTCCTTTGATGATGATCTGTGTTGTCATTTCTAGATCTGTAAGAATTGTTTTTGAAGGCCTATATGGTAGAAAAATTTACTCTATGATTATTAGAGAGTCTCTTTGAGATGGATTCTATTGAAAGATCAAACCAAGGAACTGTGTTTTCTTTCCCAACACTGCTAACTCAAAAGGCAACGATTCAACGAACTGATGTGCTCGTCGTTTTTGAATGGCATCTGTGATTTTCTCCAATTCTTTTTTTGTCTCTCATGTGAGTGTCCTGGGAGATAGAATGTCTTGTCTCTTCTTAAGAGATTCAGCAATGATGGAATGTCGCTGTTCGTGATTCCTAAAATTGATTTCATCCAGTTGATCTCTTCTAGAAGTTGTGGTAGATCATGCAGATTATTGACTTTTGTGTTGATCTCTATGTTTTGAGGTCTTACCGTTCTCTCTGAGATCTTCCACCTTAGGTATTTCCAAGGTGTGATTTCTTGAATTTTTGAAACACTAATTTCCAAACTTGCTTTTTGTACCTCAGCAATCACACAGTAATGAGTCTTTTGCAGCTCTTGTTGCGTTGATGCTGTAATGAGCAAATCATCCATATAATGAATGATTTTCACTTTCGGGAATTTCTTCTGCGTTGGTGACAAAGCTCGTGTCACGTACCATTGACATATTGTTGGCGAGTTTTTGAGGCCCTGTGGAAGTACAACCTAATGGTATCGCTGCAGCAGTGTTTCCTTGTTGATACTTGGAACAGAAAAGGCAAATCTTGGCGTATCATTTGGATGAAGTGGAACACTGAAAAAACAATCCTTGAGATCGATGATCACGAGTGGCTAGTCTCTGGGAATCATGGAAACTGACGGAAGTCCTAACTGAAGAGGTCTCATGTCCTCAATGACTTCATTGATCTTTCTGAGATCATGCAACAATCTTCAATTTATGCCAGACTCTCAGGTGAATGACCATACTTTTTGGAAGTGTTTTTGCCTTATGATCCATCTGGTTCCTCTTTTTCCTGACCTATAAAAGCCTTTCTCAGGACTGCCTGTTGATGCAGTACATTGTAGGGCTTTCTCTGGCTCACTGGTATTAGCAAGACAATAAGATCACTTCTCATTGGCCTCTGTGACACTATTTATTGAACCCCTCACCTGCTAAAAATGTGCGTTAAGATGCAGATGATATCAAGTCTTCCGCTGACTGCACCAACTCATCAGGCATGTATAAACTACTCAAATGGTTAATCGTTTCTATCAAATCATTACATTCTGTTAGATACCCAAAGTTTTTACCTTCAGGTGTTTGTCTTTAGATTTTCTTCCTACTGAGGCTATGTCACCACTTTCTTCACCTGCAAGTTGAAGGCAAATATTAAATAAAATACAGCTGAACTCAAAACAGAAATGTTTTTAAACACACACTGTGCAAGTTATTGACTACACTGCTTTCATTCTAGCAAATACTTTTCTACACTACAACTTTTAACTGTGTTACATTTCCATTTCAATTCCAATTGAAAAGCACGGTTTGTGGCTTCATAAATTACTTCAGTGGAGAAAAGAAGGGTAAAGAAAACTTGTTTGCAATCAGTCCTTTACGATTTATATCAAACATTTCAGAGAGGAAAAGAGTTTTAAAGCCCTTTCTTTTGTGGCTCCCTAAGACTCATTAATCATTAATGCATAATCCCTGCCACATTCCTAAATATCCCAAGAAAGACTGCAAGGACTTTTGCTCACGCTTCCTCTTAGTAGCTTCCTGTTGTCAAGACCACCCAAGGACTCACAAAGGGAGAAATAAGGCAGACTTGAGAATATGAAAAAACAAGTCAGAATTTTTTAACTCTGTTTTAGGCAGTCTCTGGGTGGGTTTTTTTTGTGAATGAAATGCAACAAAATATTTTTTTTCCTCGATGTAGCCAGACCTTCCAATTCAGCATTAGCTGAAATCAGTCATGCAGGAGCATAAAATATATGACTGCATTTTCAGCCCTGCTTTCTGCATTTCCCTGCACTCACCAGAGGGAAGGACAAAGGACACGAGAATAACCCTGAAAATAGTGAGCAAAAAAAAATCTTGGTCATGATACCCACCACAGCACTGCCTCCTCATACCACTCTTAAATTGCTATTACTCTTTCTGCCATACAATCTTCTTCCCCCAGTACAATTGGGAACAAACCTGTCAGATTGCTTTATTTTTAAACACTATTATTCCCTCAGTTGTAAGTTATTTATCCCTTTCTCCAAATTATCTCAGTCTTCTGTGATAGGATCCTGCCGTTGAATAATGCTAGTTACAAATATTTTTAAAAAAGTCAAAGTCAGTTCCCACTAATGAACACAATCAAATAATGATTGGGGAATACAAGGTCGAAACCTCGCTAAAAGATTTCAGGACACTGATGTCTAAAGTTTTACAAACACTACTGAAGAATTATTGCAACTGACTGCAAACCTCTGCCTACCACTCCCCTAACATTTAATGAATCTATTTTGACTACTACTACAATTTCTACTGACAACTACACCAAGAGTTTCATTTCACTCTTCCATTCTTTATTAGGAAAGGACAGTTGAACGTATTTTGCATGGACTTTCAATGTATCAGGGAATCAGGACTGAAATTTCAATGAGGAATAGAACGATTGATTGCACAGAACCACCCATTCCTCAGACTCTTGCTATTCCTATTCCCTACCTTCAGAAAGGGTACAGAAGATGTATGAAAACTAAGCTTACGATATTAGAAAATGATGAGAAAGTTATCTGCAATTTTCTCAACAAAGTTAAATAAAGGTTAGACAAGTAGTAAATGAAAATACCCACCTGAATCAGATGTGTCTGCACCAGCGTTCTTAGAAGATTCCTTAAAAGCACATGAAAGGAATTTTAACAGCTGGTAGCTTAAGCTATATTAATTAGCCCATCCAATTTTCTGCTTTCACTATTTGCTCAATTTTTTTTTTTTTGGTGGGGGTTGGGGTGGGGTGGTAGTGAAACCAACACAGTTGTATTCCACAAATTGTGACCAAATCACACCATCTTTATTAACAAGTCTCTACACAAACTTACTTGGGAGTCAAAAGAAGCTGTTCTAGATTACACAGATTTTACAAATAATCCTTTAAAAACTTAGACCCACATACTGCCTTACTAAAAAGGCACTTGATGGCTAAGAGCCTATATCCAACTGCTCTCTCTCCCCCCCTTCAAAAATCTCCTAATAATTCAGTTGAAAGCCAGTACAGATGTCGTGGTACAGGACCAGCTGCTCATAAATCATTTCTGAGCTTTTGACTACATAAACACATTTTCCCAAAGAGGCTGACATAGGACGGTTGGGGTTGGAAGGGACCATCAGCATCATCTCGTACCAACCCCTGTGTGATGGCCAGATTGCTCAAAGCCTCACCCAGCCTGGCCTGGAACACTCCATCAAAACAGATGCAATGTAGCAGCCATACCTGGTGTTCTGTTGAGTGCTCATCTTCAAAATCACAGCTCTGCTCCTCTGATATTTCGTAGCATGAATGGGAGGGGAAAAAAAGTTCCATTACTTCTATAATATTAAGCCTCCCTTGCTATTTTTGTTTTCAATTTCTTTTTTTCCCCCCTCTATTTATGTCCTATCACCAGTGGCTCTAGTAATTGGTTTCCTTCTCTGACTCACTCTGGCCAATCACACTATAATGAAACACAAACCAACGTACTCCAGCACACTTTTTATCACTGCTGAAGAGTGCAGAAAACCTGTTTTGTGTGCTTCATGTTCAAGGCACTTGTGCATATCTTCTAGCATGGTGTGTGCTATTTTTACAGCGGAGTGTGATATCTTTGGTTGGCTCAAGCAGCTTTCAAAATTGTCTCTTCAGCATTTAATTATTCCAAAATAAGTCTATTACTTTGAACTTCTTTGCATGAAATTGTAGAAATTTTCCTTTAAGTTTTAGCCCAAGTCTGTCGGACACCTTTCTCAGTGGTCAACCCTACCTGCTATCATCTGAGAGTTAATTAAGGGTATTCCCTCTTCTGTTATTTACTTCAATAGAGTGTAAACCGACAAAGTGTGCAGGACAAGTCCTGTAAAAAAAAAACCCCATGTTTCCCTCAAGCTGGGACCCAGACCACTGATAACTATTCAAAGCACAGTTTTCCAACCAGTGGCTATAAAACCACTTTCTCATAACATTCAACAAACAAGCATATAACTAGAAGGCTCTGGCTACAGGTGGTAACCTTCTCTGGAAAAATTAGCTGCAATAATCCATAGTCAGAAGTATACTTCTTTGGGGGAGGGTTTAAGGGGTATGCGCTGGTTTGGTTTTTGGTTTTTTTTTTAAGGCCAACTGACACCACAACAGTTGAAATGTTTACTCATGCGTCTTTGTGATTCAAATAAAAAAAGTCAGAGCAAGGTATGGTTTTCTTAAGCTGGCTAAAATCTGTGAGACTCTTTTTTATATATTTATATATTTAATATTTATATATTAATATAAATATTAATAGTTATATATTATTTTTACATATATAAATACAAATCTATGCAGACCTGTCTTTTTATAAGAAAGCTGTTCACCCAGCTTTAATACACAGTTAGAAATTTCCTCCCTAGGATGACTTGAAATTATACTTTTCCCAACTTCCAATGTAACTTGAGAAAACACGTATCACCTGTTTTTCTGCTTCCTTAGCTCATCTGTAATGCAGTACACTAAATTTAAAATTAATAAGATCAAGACTTTCTAGCATTAAAGACTACCACATAAACACCATTTTTTAAGAGCTTCTAGACCTTTCAAACCCTGAAGTAGATTTGCAAAGATTAGCAAAATATTTCTTCTAAAATACTTCAAGAACTGGCTCCTTGAAATAAAAAAACCCAACTTTCAAGTTCTACCACAGACTACAGCCAAATTTTTGCACTACTTTGCCCCATTAGCCAAATGGAACAAGAGGTAAAGGTCGGCACCATCTGAAACTTTTTGTACCTGACCCTTATTTTCCAGCTCTACATTTAGATTTCTTAGGCTGATTCAAAGCCTGTGTCTGACCACTGTATAGACAAATTTCTGGCAGTGCTGTGGAGGAAGACAGGTGCTAGGCAGTGCTTTGTCCTCTGGTGCCCCAAATAAAAGTTACTCAGATGAATGCCATAAAATAATACCCAAAAACCCACTACAAAACCTTGAGAGAACAGAGCCCAACATACCTACATTTTGTGAAGGTGGCATGGTGGCATTTTGGCCACAACAACCCCCTGCAACCCTACAGGCTGGGGACACAGTGGCTGGACAGTGCCCAGGCAGAAAGGGACCCGGGGGCACTGGTGAACATGAACAGGAGCCAGCAGTGTACCCTGGTGGCCAAGAAGGCCAAAGGCATCCTGGCCTGTGTCAGGAACAGTGTGGCCAGCACGAGCAGGGAGGTCATTCTTCCCCTGTACTCGGCACTGGTGAGGCCACACCTTGAGTGCTGTGTCCAGTTCTGGCCCCTCAGTTTGGGAAGCATGTTGAGACACTTGAGCACATGCAAAGGAGGGAACAAGGCTGGTGAGGGGCTTGGAACATAATCCCTGTGAGGAATGACTGAGGGAGCTGGGGTTGTTTAGCCTGGAGAAAAGGAGACTCAGAGGTGACCTTATCACTCTCTACTACAGCTGAAAGGTGGCTGTAGCCAGGTGGGGGTTGGTCTCTCTCTCCAGGCAGCAATGGATAGAACCAGAGGACACAGTCTCAAGCTACGGCAAGGGAAACACAGGCTGGCTATCAGGGAAAAGATTATTACGCAAAGAGTGATGAAGTACTGGAATGGTCTGCCCAGGGAGGGCTGGAGTCACCACGTGTGGATGTGTTTTAAAAAAGAATGGATGTGGCACTCGCTGCCATGGTTTAGTTGGGGTGTTTGGGCATGGGGCGCAATCAATGATCTTGAAGGTCTCGCCCAACCTAGTGATTCTGTGTGATTCACTCTACTACACAGCAAAATTTTCTCCCCCCCATCACTTATCCCAGTAAAGATACGTATTTTCTAGGAACATACAGCTCCTTTTCAGAAAAATTTTCAGATGTCACACATCCCGTCCAAGTAGTATCATATCTACACTTTGGTGTACAGACATGTTTTGATTTCTATTCTGGAATTTGATCTCCAATAAAGTAACTGCGTGCTACCTTTTCCTGGAGACATCCTGATTCACTGACTAGACAGAATAATCTGCTAAATTTTGGATAGCCCATCACACAACTTCATGAGATTATTTTAGCACGTATTTTTTTCATATGCCCCCTGATCTAGTAATTTTCAGAAAGCTACCAACATTCATATTTCACCACTACGTGCACAGAAGTCAGGCTTGAAATTTTTAAGATTCAATGATCATCAGACATAACTGACAAATGCAACAAAAACCTCTTTGATTAACTGAGAAGGGGTGCTTATTCTAATCAACTTGTTTTGATAGCACCATGAAATATAACGTACTTAAACACTTTAACTAACATTTCTAAATCCTTAGGAACACAAGTATTGATGACTTATTAGATGGTTTCTCACACAAAACCCAATGAATATCCTAAAGGGTTTCGCATGAACCTGAATCCCTTCCTTTAAGGCAAAACTCTTGGCTTAAGACAATTTGTAATATATTAAAAAAAAAAAAAAAGAACCAAAAAAACAAACAAAAAAAAAAACACCAAAAACCCCCAAAAAACCCAAATACTACCTGCGCTCCTTGGATGGCATTTATTACTCTGCAATAGAAAAAAAAAAGAATAATCAAAGAAAAGCAAAATAATTTTAAGCATTGTCTTTATTTACTTTGGTATAGGCCACAACTACAAAACCATGCCATTCTCTCAGGTTTCCCCAGGCCTAACCAGAAATGCCACAAGTATCTAGTAAAACTTACCTGATCATTCACTTTTCCCCTTACTGTTGCTGCTAAAGCACTGCAAGAACATACCTGGGCCCACATAAGAAGCTAAGACAGAGAATTTCCCTCACAGTCTTTTATGGATTTGGTCCGGAAACTTGGGCAGCAATGCTTAGTAGACTGTGCACGAGGCATTACCAGGAGCGTGTTTAGGGAACCCTAAACACAGCTTCTTTTTGGTCTCCATGAAATCCACTCAGGTTGCCTCAGACTGAATTCCGTTCCTCATGCCCTCACTCTGTGGGGTTCTGAACAGCTTCTGCGTTAACTGCCAAGGCACACCATACAGGCCACGGCGTTTACCTGACACACTGACTGGTGAGACTGCAAAGAATCTTTAATTCATCTGGCATTATTTCACAGGGAAAAAGAAAGAAACTAAAGATGAAACCAGGAACCCCCGTGGAATGGAAGAGCTGACTGCCTGAACAAAGATAAATTGATTCAATGCATTAACTGCACTGAAAGCATTCTGATGAGTTCCAAAAACACACATTCCCAACAGACAGCAATTGAAAAAAAAAATTTCTCCAGGTTTAAAAGTGGTGCTAACCACTGATAAATGCCCATCTATTTTAGCCTAATGTATTGGAAAAAATCTTAAGCTCTCCTAAAACTCTATTGTAAAGCAGATGTTGACCTCCTCAATACCTCTGAAAATATTATATGGCAAGGCAAGATTAGGATATAATCCTATCTATCTATACATCCATAAAGAAATATTGCTGCATGTTGGCTGCATGGTAGGAGTGTAGTGATAAATACCGGAAATATTTCTTCCTTCCACTTTTTGACATCTTTTCTAGACACTTTCTCCCATTCTTTTATACCTAGAAAAACAAAAAAGTAACAGTATTACCACACATCATAATCCCATCTATACTGAATATCACACTAACAAACATTCAGGAACAACCTATTTCAGAATAACAAGGCATTAGCAAATCTGAACTGTCTACCATCACTTTGTTGAAATAAAAAATTAAAGGAAAACAAACCTGGACAACATGGTAATTGAAGCTGAGAAGTCAGGCAAGACAAAGAAGATAATGACATGCTGAGTCTAGCAAGACAGAGCTAAAATCCAAAGAGCATTACAGCCCCATATTCTACCAAGAGGAGAAAAAAGGCAAAATACTTTAGATTCTAGATTTTCGCTGATGAATGCAGACTCCATGGTATCTGAGGTTAATTAAGCCATGATTAAGGCTCTTCAGGATTGAGATCTGTATTCATTCCATATTGAACAGAGATCACTAAACCAAAAACATAACCAAATCTGTACAAATGCAAAGCTGTCTATTACAATACTCTATGAATGTCTCCTCTCCCTCCCAATGGATAATATACATGAAATGTTAAGCCTTCCAGTCTGTAAAAACCTTTGGTGCACAAGTGATACTTCCTCAATCTCTCCGCTAAGTTATAAAAACTGATACAGAAATTCATGTATGTGGTAGTTTTTATAGGGCTGATTTTTGGTGAAGAGGGATAAGGGCAGAAGTGATTTTCTGGTAAGAGCTGTTGAAAGCTTCTCCTGTGCCTGGCAAAACTAATCGCTGGCTCTGAGAAGAGGCATGCTGCTAAGCCAATTAGAGAAGCTGGTAATGCCTCTAGGACAACGCATTTAAAGAACCAGAAAAACTGCGAGAAGCTCTCCATGTCTGCGGCCTCCGAGGAGTGGCGATGGGGCTGGCCGCTCCCTTTCCTGGCAGAGGGGGCACTGCTATCTCGGCAGGGTTCCCAATGAAACCAATCCCCTCGGCCGCTCCTAGGCAGCCGTGGGCAGACAGAGGGGCGAGGGCGGCCGCGGCAGCTTTTCCTCTGGCATGCCCGCAGGAAGAAAAGGCGCGAAATGGAGCCCATGACGGGGACCACACCTTCACAGCGAGCCATGCTCCCGCGCAGAGCCCGGACGGGATCCACCCTTCAACACTGCAGAACGCTGACCAGCCATTACAATGAAAACCTGGGTAAATATTGTCATGGGCCTACATGGTTTAGATTGATGCTAACCGCATGGGAACAGTCAATGAAAATTTAAAGAGACTGTGTACCGACTGCGCCCTGATGTTTGGCATAGCAGTAATTTATCAGAGCAGTATTCAGAATACTGAGTGAAGATGAAAATACATTATCCATTCATGCCGATCAGCTTCTGCTAATGTCTCCATTTCTTTGCTTTCTCTCAGTCTTTTCATTTTTGATCCTTCTTCCTTCAAGTCATCCAAACATTACCCATCCTGAACATTGCTAATATAATAAAATAATATTATATTATAATTATATATAACATATTGTAATCTTATATATAAAATATACATATATATAAGAATAATATCATAATACCATCCTGAACTTTGCAAATAACCAATGTCTTGTCTAGAATAGAGCATGCGACAGAATAAGAGTGCACACAGGAGTAAACTCTTGGTACTATACCAAAGTCTACATATGATATGTCATGTGTTAGTGAACAAAATTCAGTATCTGTCGCACTTAAATATTCTGCAACTGCCAACACTTGAATGCTTTACTAAATCTACACATACAGTATGTAAAAATTGTAACTTTAACGAGTTCTTACCTTCAGGTGTTTCGTAAGTCAGGGTGCCAATGGACACCAGGATATCATCTTCGAAGTCATGATTGTACTAAAGAAAAAGATGCATTAAATATTAGAACAAACTATCAAAGTAATATCTGCAATGTCTGTTTTACATATTGTTTTTAGGACAATTTTTTCTTTTATCCTAAACATGAAATTATCAGTACGTTGCTTTATCGGCTAAAGGTAGAAGTCAGCAATCTGGAAATCGTAACTCCTAGAAGAAACCGGTGTATTTTAAGCATGTGCTCAAGCCATTCAACCTAAGGCATAAGCCAGCCAGTGCCAAAACAGGGCTTCAGAGAATTTTCAAAATGCAGTTAAGTCGCTCTCTGAGAGTTTCAACCCAATTTCTGCTGTAGAAACGAAAAGCAGCCCCCAGCTAAGTAAGACCAACCACTCATGACATGTAAAAACGTCTGATGTGCACTAGCCAATGTGAAAAATGTGTATTTTATGATTGGCTTTTCGCTAGTATTAAAATGAATATTATATGTGTATGTTAGAAAGTTATGCTGTATTAAATAATTTTCTTAACTAGTGTATTAAATATATTTTTAGGTTATAACATAATATTAAAATAGAAACTATGCTATGTAAGATATTTAAGAAAGGACTCACACCAGATAGCAGCCACAGGACACCTAAATCTTTCAGAGAAAGGGAATTTATTGCTCCCTTATCAGCAGAAAACTAACTTCTTCCCACCTCGCTCAGACTGGGAGATGGCATGAGGATTAAGAAGAAGCTGACAGTGACCACAGAATCCTGTGTTTGAATAGAATTTATGCATCATGTATGAGATGTATGAATATGCAACAGGCGATTGTTTTTAAGGGTTAATCCTCTGTTAACCGGGGTCCTTTTTCGGGCTTGTGTTGCCCAGAAAAAGATACCCGGACGTCCGTATCTCTTTGTTTTTATTGTCTCATATTGTCCTAATCTCAGTTGTTCAAATTTTAGTACTGTAATTATATTACTATTTTTATAACCATTTTATTGCTATTAAGCTTTTAAATTTTTAAAAACAAGTGATTGGCGTTTTTCACAGCCGAGAAAATCGATCTAGAGCCAGATTTAGCCCGGCGGCAGCACAAAACACCTGTGGAACGGGAAAGGCCGCATCCCGGGATAAACGCGTGTCTGTGCACGGAGGAGGACCATGCCCACACCTTAAACGCAGAACGTCTCCCAAGGGAGAAGGAATCACAGAGGGAGGCCCCCACTTTTTGTAGTTTCATTGACAACCCCCCTCTAACGCAAGCTAATAGGAGTTCAGGCCACTGAAGTCAGCTCGCACCTGTGACTAAGTCGCGTATCCAGCACGGGCAGTCCCAGCTGTCCGTTTTGCGGCTGCATTCCGGGAGCTGCCTCTTGCCAGCCCTATTCCGGGAGCTGCCTCTTGCCAGCCCTCTCCTGCCAAGGCACACGAGTGCGCGGCCCCGCACAGGCGGCACAGCTGCTCCCGGTCCCTGCTTCCCCGCCCGCCTCAGGACGCCGCCCGGAACTCGCAGCCACCCCGGTCCCACAAATCACCTGGTCTAAGATCTTATTCATACACGCCAGAAACCGCGCATTGCTGCGCCGCAGGCCCTCCTCCACCGTCTCATCAAACTCCATGACGGAGGACCGTTGCCGCCGGCCGCCTCCCCCCCAGTTCAAACCGCCCCCCCTGGCCGCCTCCGATTGGCTTGCTAAAATCAGTTCTGGAGCTGTAATCAATGGGAGTCTGCGGTGGGCGGGGTTTGTATTCTGATTGGCTGCTGCCGCTTCTGAATGCCCGATCACCCCGCCCCCAAGTCCTGGCTTTGGGCGCCAAGTCCGTCGCGGCGCGGGGTGTCCTTGCCCCGGGCTCCCATTGGCTGCGGCGCGCGGCGCGGGGGCGCCCGGCCCGCGTCCCGCTGAGGGGGCGCGCCGCCGCCGGGGAGAGAGGTGCCCCGGGGCGCTCTCCGCCCTGGGCGGCTCCTGGCGGAAATTTACAGTGTTGTGGCTGTCGGATTCGGCACAGACGGCCAGAGGAGTCGGGGTGGGGTATTTGGTGTTCAGCGGGAGGTCATGCCCTCCCCAGTCGCTCTCTAGTTTGTTCGCGAAGGCTGCAGGCCTCTGGGGAGGAGTGGAACTGGCAAAGCCAAAGCGTTACCTGCCCACTGGTGCTGGTATTTTGGATGCCATTCTGTTATTTCCCAATATTCTCCAAGTAACCATTGGTTTTCTATAAATAAAGATTTTTTAAAAAGTAAAATATCATCAGCACGTCATTTTCCCTGGAACCTCCCACTAAAAAAAATTGCCATTTTGGTAAAGACAGATGCACTTTTCATAATCCCTTACTGTTTAAAGCTGATTTGTATTTGCTTACTTATTATTCAGTTGTATTGAATTTTATTTTTTAAACGGACTTAAGAAAAGTGTGGACCTTTGATCCGCATTTAAGCATTCTTACTAGTATGACTGAAGTTTTCACAGCTGACAAGATCTGCACTAAGGCCTTACCCTGTTTCTGGCAGGTCTTACCCTTTTTCTGGTTCTTCATTAAGGCCTTACTATTTTTCAGGGTATGATGCATGAAATACTGCTCTCAGTATGTTTAAATACGCGTGTTTTAAATGTGATTTAAATCACACGTGATTTAAACGTGTGTGCTGAGCAAGCCAGCTAAAAGAGTACTGAATGGTTGATTTCAGCATGCAGGAAAAGATGAGTGTGGTAATTCCAAAGTAACACAACAGATCCCACTCCTACATTTGTCACTGTATTTCCACCAGGATGACTGCAGGACAAATCATCTTTAAAAACGAAGAATCTCACTGAGGAGCACCTAATTCTTTGTTCTTTATTTTCCTGATACGCACCCAGGAGTAGATTTGCAGAAGCTCTCAATGCTCTGTCTTTACATTCACTTTGATGGAAGCTGTGCTTTGAATAGATCAAAGCTTATATATAACTTCCTAAGATTTAAAAATAGGGGGGGGAAAGTGTAACTACCCTGAATAAATTAGAATCTCTGTATCGCAAATTGACAAAATTGATAAGCACTCAGTAGTTTGAAGCAAGTGCCTATAATCTTTCCTTTCCCATTGGTAAAATATGCTACTAATTTCACTCCCTTGAATAGATAAAATATAATTTCTATGATACTTCTAACATGGTCAATTATTGAGTTAGTTTGGAATAGTAGTAGGAATTTTATTAGTAGACAAGTAGATCTATACATAACTCAGGGCCAGCTTTACATGATGTGCAGAGAATGAGACCTGAAGCCCCACATTTAGAGAAGGATAAAGGGAAATAACAGGTAACTAACTATTCAGTACTTCCAACTTTCAAAGTGCTACTCATATGGGAAAAAATGCATCATTAAATCACTTGTGGGGAAAAAAAGAAGCATCAGAATATCTCTGTTTTTTCACTGGCAGGTTTAGAGTTGTCATGGCCTTCATGGTGGTCTTCTGTGGTCCCCTTGTGGTGCTTTGATAATTTAAGGTTAAATACAGTGCACACGTAGGATAAGAATAATTACTTTCCTCTGACATTTCTTAGCTTAGGACCCACTCACTTCACAGCCTAAATAATAGAAGTAGCCCCTGACTTATTTTATATTTGAGGCAATCATCAACCTAGGAGAAAGGGGGTGTGATCCAGTTATTTTAGTTTTATCCAGAAGTTTTGTCTATTTTGAATTCATGGTACACTTCAGTAGAGTGACAGGAGCACTAAAGTGCAAAAAATTTCTTCTACCACCTGTATGAGAAAATGAGATTGACATTCAGCAGCTGTGCATGGACATTGTTCTAAGCCAGCAGTAACTGGTACATTTGATAAGGTGTAACCAAAAAATTTTAAACTGCCTGACCTTAAGAACCACAAAGTCTACAAAGATTAGCTAATGCTTGGGTGAATTTATGTTGACTGCAAGCAAGATTTTGGATCAAACTGTTGACAAACTAAAGAAAGTGGCACAATGTTCACTGTTTACAGAGTAATAAGTAAACAGTGAACATTGTGCCATTTTTTGCTAGAAAAGAGAATGTATTAATATGATACAGAAACAGATATTTCAAGAAGAAGGCTTCTTTGGTGCCTGTGTAGCACCAGAACCTTATCCTCTGTTCTGTCCAAGCTCTACATCTTCTGCCTTTCTGTTGAGTAGGTTTGTGCAGAAATGTATGACAGAAGATTTAACTTCAACTATCCTTTAATTAGTTTGACTTGTAGAAGAATAACTTGTGGCTCTGAGTTGAGTGTGTTATTGTTTACCCTATGGTTTACTGCTATGTGTTATTGTTTTATTCATAGTGTTTATTCATATTTGGAGAGGCCTGTGTTCTCCCCAGCTCATCATGTAGTCCAGCCTCAAGCTGTATTTTATCCCTTTAATCCATTTATCACTTAAAAAAAAAAAAAAAAAAAAAAACCCAAAAAAAAAAACCAAAAAAAACCATCTGCACTAAGTGATCATTTTTACTGTTCTGCTCTGAACTCTTTCCAGTCAGTCAGCAGTCAGGATCCTTGACTACTTAGGCATCTGGAATAATAAATAATTTTCTGAAAGCAACCTCTGAAGAACTATAGAAAAGGCAATTTGCACATCTATTTTCTGTAAATGTTGATCTTCAGATACAGCCAAAACATCACATTGAAATGACAAATTCCTCTCTCTTCAGTATTTTTCTTTGGAATGGGATTCCATGCTGCTCCCTCTCTTTGTACAAGGGAGTATGAAGGCATAAAATAACTGCTTTTTTCCAGAAAACTTTGCACATCTCAGCTTGTGTCAAACCAGTGAATATAATTAGAAACTCAGAGACTGTAAAAAAAAAAACCACTGAGGAGAGTTGGAGCGGGGAGTAGTTGTAGGCATGTAGGAGAGCTGTGGAGAAGGGAAGTGTGAGCATCCCAGGAAAACTCCGCAGTAACAGAGTCAGCACAGACCAGGTTTTGCAGCAGGCACTTTGTATCGTTCCCTCTGCAAAGGAGCCTTGCCTTCCCTGCTCTCTGAGAGGTGGGAGGGAAAGCACCATTTTATTCCTCCTTACTTAACAACTCCACACAAAGTCATAAATTAGTTTTTTCACATAAGGCAGTCCTTGCATGAGTTGTCTGTTACACAAAGAAATGTTTCCAAACCTTATCATAATTAAACACACTCAAGCACTCCATAACTCTGCTTATATAAAACATGAAAGAAAAGAAAACCAAAAAGCAACCACACTTGGCCATCAGGAAGGCATCAAAAATCTTCTTGTCAAGTAAAAAATGTGACTGAGCTTCCAAACACAGTCCTGGGATTAATAACATTATTTCTATAATTTCCCTATTTCTGCAAATTGTGTGCAGTCCTGCTGGAATTGTGTGCAGTCCTGCTGGAAGCACATTTGGAGCGGGCTTTAAGGCTGCACTTACTGGATCTCTTGTTTTCTGAAGGCTTTGTACTGCCCCCAGTTGTCAAGAACATGTGTAATTTTGTTCGGGAGTAATTTTATTAGTTCCAGTCTAATCATTCCTCTGCCAGAATGGGACTTCACTATTTTCATTTTTTGGTTCTGATCTACTGGATCTGGCCAGGATGAAGCTAACTCTTCCCAGCAGCCCTTTGCTGCTAAGTTTTGGGTTTGTGGCTAAAGAAGGTGATGCTGGTAAGACAGTAATTGTGTGGCTATTGCTGAGCAGTGATTGCACACACGAGGCTTTTGCTTTTTTCCCCCACTCCCCACTCCAGTGAGTATGAGTAGGCTGGACCTATGCAAGAAGTTAGGAGGAGACCAAATAAGACATCACCTGAACTGAGCAAAGGGATGTTCCATGTTGTACAACGTTATGCTCAGCAATAAAACCTGGGGTAGAGGAAGAAGAAGATGAGAGGTTTTTTTCCTTTCAGGTTGGCCATTACTTGGAGACTTCTCTTATGGGAAATAATGAGTCATTGCTTTTGTATCACTTAGTTCTCATAGGATTGTTTTCCCCCTTCTGTCACTTACTTAAGTGTCTTTATCTTGACTCAGTTTTCTTACATTTTCTCTTCCTGTTTTCTCCCCTGTCCTGGAGTGCATGTGGATGCTTGGCTGCTGGCAGGACTCAACCTACAGCAGGTTATTTCTGCTGTATAACCTGGTTATTTCTGAAGCCTTCTGATCACTGAAATATGTCTGACTGTCAGCTCATTTATAAAGACAGGTCCCAAGTTCAACCACTCTGTCTGTGGATAGAGGAATAAGCAATTACTAGGACAACAATCACCAAGAAATGGTCAATCGTTTTTCCATCACATAAGGGAATGCAAAGAAGATGAGAAGAGAGAACAAAAGTAATTTTTAATCATTTAGGACTCAGGGTACAAAGCTCAGAAATCTGACCAATAGAATTGTATTACTATTGAAGCAAAGGATGAGAATTTCCTTGAAAAGGAATGAGTGATTCTTGTTCCTTTTTCTACTCACCACTGTTCTCAGTTTTCAGCATCTGTTGAAACTGTCTGGATTGACTTTTGCTCCAAATTCTTCACTCTCTCTGGCATTTTGTAGAAGTAGCTCTCTAGCTCCTGCTTGGGTTGGCAAAGAACGGAGTGTCACCAATGTGCTGAACAAATGCCACAACTCAACAGTCATGTCATGCTTCTCTTGCATAGGTATCAAACTGCTTCACAAAACATGGCAAGAATTACT